AAGTCACTGAATAAAGGGGCTGTACCACTGACTGAGCTGAGTTCTGTGTCTTACTGCCTACGATCCAGTCTTCCCGGAGAGGGCTATCTCTTCGTAAACCATGACTCATGGAGACCCTGCTTTCGCCGTTTCTCGCACCTCCCCTCGTGACCTGGTGGCCAACGGGTCTCTAACTTAGAGGGAGTGCACGGTGGAAATTGAAACGGAACCCGACCGGGCAGCTGACAGTGGTCCTAGAGCCGCCAGCCCCAGTAGCAGAGACCCTCAGCAACGCAGTGCGTGAAACCCGCTGCACACCCATACTCTCCCATACAAATAGGCTCTTTCCATACTGCAGACCCTGGTCACTATTTTCTTAAACTCCGGATCAGTGACTACCTGGGTGCTTCCAAGGTAGCATATCCCTGAAGGTACATTATAACCTCACTGGCGTAGGATCAGCTTTTATCTCCATCTCTTAGGTCCTGAAGAATACCCTCATCTAGCTAAGCCTTCCCTCAGCAATGCAAGACTTCCTGGATCCAGACCACCAACCTTACAGTACATCTACAGCATAGGCCCTCACACACTGTCGATATTTAGAGGGGATCTTGGTGGAAAGGTTCTTGATTTGTGTTCATGTGTCTCTCCTACCCAAAGAATATAAAAAAAAAGGAGAGATCGACTGGGAGTAGGAGTGTCTGAGAACACAGGCTTTATCCCTCAGTACTCAGGGCATGATCCTGAGCACACAATGGTCTGATAAGATTCCCAGCTTCTGATAGTTCTTCCAGAGAGAAGCTAAAGAAAATAAGTCTGAGGCTGGAAAGATGGCTCAGCAGTTAAGAACACTGTTCTTGTAGAAGACCTGAGTTTGAATCTCAGCACCCACACAGCAGCTAACAACTGTCCATAACTCCAGTTCCAGGGGATCCAACAGCCTCTTCTGTCCTCCTCGGGCATTGCACAACATGGGTGTACTCACCTACATGCAGACAATAGACACATACACATAAAATAAAAATAATAAATAAAGCCAGGCATGGTGGTACATGCCTTTAATCCTAGCACTCGGGAGGCAGAGGCATGCGGATTTCTGTAAGATTGAGGCCAGCCTGGTCTCCAGAACAAGTTTGAGGTCAGCTGGGGCTATAGGAAGACCCTGTCTTAAAAAGAGCCCCCACATAAAAGAGTAGTTTTAAAGAGAGTTAATGTAACTTCCCAAGCCACAGGACAGCTGAGGCTACAGACCAAAAATAAAAAAATAAATTAAAAAATAAAATAAAATAAATAAATAATTAAAAAAAAAAAGTCTGGGACACAGAGTGAAGTGGAAAGGAAAACAGTGTTCCAGGTACTACACTGGACACTGCACCTAGATTAGTCCTTGTTATGACCCCATGAGTGGTATGCATGGTTTCATTACATTAACAAAGAAACCGAGGCTGACAGAAGTAAAGCCATTTGCCCAAGTTTACAGAGAGGAGCTAGGCAATGAGACTCCTCTAAAAGCATTATGTCCCCAGTGTGGCCCTACCCCATAAACCCCTGCTGCCAACTGGACTGTGTGCCCTCCTCCTGTATTGGGGGCTTCGGACCTGCCAAAGAAATTGGCCTCCTTGATATCCGTGGTGGTATTGCAGTGGCCACAGTAGCGGAACTGATAGTCATAGCTCCGTTCCCGCAGCACCATTTCATCTTCTGAGATGGAGTCCTTGCGACTCGTGCTTCGGAGGCGAACTGGGCCTCCACCACCAGCTGCCTTCTTCTCCTCTGGGGGCAGAGATCAAAGAAAGGTGAGAGTCTTCCTCTCTCTTCCTTCCTTCACTTTCTCCCCCATCTTTACCCTGTTTTCAGCCCAGTGCTGACAATATAAGGCTATCTGCCTCCACCGTTACTCTGGAAAACTGAGAAAGGTTGTGGGAATATGCATCTTCTGTTTCAGCTATCTTTTGTGCCTAAGGAGTCTTTGATACCAGGAGAACTCTGGTCAGGTCCCTCAATAAAAGCTTACAAGCCCCAAGATGCACAGGCTCAAGGAATGTTTCTGTGGATGAGAAACAGAGTTCAGTGAGACACTAGCAAAGAAAGCTTTAAACGGGCGACGTTAACAGAGCCATAGCTCTTATGGCTGAAAGGACCTAGTTCGTGCCTGCTGGAACACAAGTTGATCAACTGATAGTACGATCACACTAGTCTTGTCAGTTTCTTAATGATAGCTTGTTTCCTGCCTGCTTAGAGACTTTGAACATCCTGATCCCTAGGATACTTCACTTCTCAGTCACATTGTATCCCCTACTCCCTCAGATTTTGGCAAGGAATCCATGATAGGCTGGAGATATAGCTCAGCAGCTAAAAGCACTGGCTGCTCTTGCAGATCTGGGTCCGCTTTTAGCACCCGCATGGCAGCCCACAACCATCCAAAACTCTAGTTCCGGGAGACCTGATGTCCTCTCCTGGCCTCCCTGGGCATTGTATGACAAAGATGCATTTACATATATGCAGGCAAAACATTTATACATGTAAAATAGAAGTTAAAAAAAAAAACCAACAACTAAGACTGCCATCAAGCTCTGCCCACACACCTGTGCCCCCAAGGCCCATAGCACTTCGCGTTCTCTTTGTTTCTCCTTCAGTGCTGGCTCCTCCCTAGGCTGTGAACTCCATGAGCTGAAGGATGGGGTCACAGCAGTAAGTCCAGGACCCAGCACAGTGCCTGACACTATGCACTAAATGAAATATTCCACGGCTAGTAAACTGCAAAGGAGAGAGGTGAGGACCCTTATGTGACTCCAGTGAGCCCACTTTCCATGTTTATAGGTCACAGTACCATGATCCAGCTTGCCCTCCAACACTAGCTAGAGGAACTGGACAGGCTTTGTGTGCCCCTGTACGGGTGAGGAAGTGGGTGGAGGCTGTGCTCTAACCATGGTCTCACAGTTCTACCTGGTAGAGACCAGCTGAAAACTAAGGCTTTTTCCATTGCCCTTGCCGCCCTTTCTGCCACACCTGCACAGACTGAAACAAAGGCAACAAAACTAGCACTTGCCCCCCTCAACCCAGTGAGCTGCCAAGGCCCTGTCTGGGAACAGGTGGGAAGACCCAGCTGGAGCCCACATAGCCTGACTAGGCTCAGCTGACTCCAATACCAGCTGCCTTGAATGCTGTAACTCATCCTCAACAGAAACTTACTGAGAGTTGCTAGCCATTTCCCTTCTTCAGCTGTGGAAACTGAGTCTCACAGACCAGCTATCTCAAGATGACATGGTTTCCAAGTCAGCATCTGAAGCCAGGCCTTTCCAATCCCAGAGCCATGCCCTCTCCAGGTCAAGCAGCACCCTAAGGTGATTGACAGCAACCCCACCTCAGCGCTCACTCACCACCATCATTTTTGGAGAAAAGGGCAGCTGTGATGTCCCGACCCAATGCATCACAAGCGCTGCTGTGGGCCTGTTCCGGGAACTTCCCTTTGAAGTCGTCCAGGCACTCCAGAGCCTCAGCCACATATTTGAGCTCAAAGAGGCAGCGGGCCAGGCGGAAGTGTGCCTTCAGGTGGCACGGGTTTAAGGAGATGGCCTTGAGGCAGTCCCTCAGGGCATCATAGTGGTCACCGTCCCTGGGAAAATAGGGGAATATGTTTTAAGAGATGGGGTCATGTAGCAAACAAGAGGTCCCCACTCAGACTCCTTCATGTCCTATGGTTACTTCTAGCCCACCTGTGACAGATCTCAGGGTGAGGGGACAGGGAAATGAGGCTTGGCTTAGATTAGCTCAGGACTCCCTCCTAAGGAGGTGGAGTATGCTAAAGAGCAAGGCAGGTTTGAGATAGTAAGAAACAGTGTCAGGCTGCCCTCTGCCGGGCAGACTACAGTTATGCATGGCTCACCTCAGGCACCCGCAGCTCTGCAGCAGAAGGTCTGGCATCCTGCCCACCTCAGGCTCCCCAAGCCCTCCTTCTCTTCCTTTATCCACCTCCTCAAATCCCCCTGCTGGCCTTCAAAGCTATGTCCAAGGTAGGGGGCCCTCAAGGACAGTTCTGTGGTCTGGGAAAGCCAGAAGTGCTAGGCCAGGGGCTCAGGCTCTGACCAGCAGGCAGCAAGCCCTCAGCCAGACCCCCCTCTGTCCTGGCTGACTGATCCGCAGCAGCTGTGGCCTCTACCTCCTGGGGCTGGAGGATGGGGCCTGACTGTCTGGCAGAGTCAGCTTTCTCTGGAAGCTGATGGTGAGGGGGCTATGCACACCAGGAGCTCCAAATCCTCTCTCCACTCACTTCTCCAGTGGAAAAGTATGGGTAAAGGGAGGTGGAAAAGCTTTTTATTGGAGGGGGGAGTCAGTGGAAGGAGGTAAAGGGAGAAGCTCTCCTTTTCCTATGCTGTGCCAGAATAGAGGAGGCACACTTCCTCTGTTGCCAGGAACCCATCTTTGCCTCTCATCTGGAGAGCTAGAGCGGTGGCAAGAGCCACTTCCCCTCTGGAAGCATACACTTGTTTGTTTTTGCAGTGCTGGGGATGGAAGCATATTTTTTTTTTTTCTCCTCCTCCTGCTAGGCTGGGGCAGGCCTATCACCCAGTAAGCAGCACTCCCTAAAGCCAATGGTCCCTCTACCACCAAGGGCAGGAATCCCAATGCTCCTGTATGGCCAAAGCTGGCCTGCCACAGAAGGACCCCTCCTGACTCCCCCTTGCCAGGTAGTCAGAAGGAAACAGAGCTGCTTTGATGTGTAGTCTGTGTCAGAATGAGCGACTACGACGAAGGAACAGGCACTGTTTGGAAACCCAATTACTGCCTGCAAGGTGCCCCTTCTGAGCTCCTAGCAAGAGCCAGACCAGAGACCAGCCAGGAGCCAGAGGGTGGTCTGCTTCCAAGAGCAGATGGTAGCCCTGGGGAGACTGGCCTGGGACAGAATGTGACATTTTAGGGGTCACTGGCAGGAGTGTGGGGATGTGGGGAAAGCAGGCTGGCCCCAGGGCTCACCCATCCTATATGCACTGCCAGATCAATCTCCCTGAAAAGACAGCTCTCTGAACATCCCTCTTCTGCTCAAATCTCTCCAGTAGCTGCCCATCACGCACTGAATCCAGGCCAAACACCACCCTCTGCATACCAAGCCCTTTCCAGGCCAGCCCCAGGCTACCTCACAGACTCATCTCCTGCCAGTCCTTTCCAGAACCCTATGCTCCAGCCAAATGGATTTGCTGTTCTGAAGCAGGCTTTTCAGTCAGTCCCCCGCCCCCATGCCTTTGTTCACACCATTTCATCTCCCTGCAATGTCCTTCCCTACAGTCCCCCCCCTCCCCTTCATCTCCTTGTCTAAGCCTGCCCACACTTGGAGCCCATTCAGACACCACGTCTTTCTAAGGCTTTCCTGCTCCTGAGCTGAAGTGACTCAACTCTTCTTGATGCCACAACAGTCTCCTGACCATTCACATTACTGCTACCTGCATCTTTCATGCTGAACTATGCCAGAGACTTTCTCCTTATCCAGTGGCTGGGCACTCCAGGGCACAGGGACTCAGATAGCTTCCCTAGCACTCAGCATATAGTAGGAGCTCAGAGAATAAGCTGAGAATTAGAAAATCACCAAGCTCTCTCAGCAAAAATACAGACATAAAAGCTGAGCTCTCAGCCTGGAGCCTAGATGAGGACTGCCATATCTACCCAACCACTGGGACAGAGAGGTGACATACCTCAGATGGCCCTGAAATAGTTACCTTCTGAATTTGGGTGCCACTTGAGCCCTGGAAAACTCCAAATGCCTAAGTTAACTCCTGCATGTGTGGCATCTTTCCCATCCCCCCACCCACCATCCTGCTGACTTGGGTGGGTTTCTTAAGCTTCCCAGGCCTGCCTAGTTTCAGCCAGACGATGGCACACCAGCTGGCCTGTCTGTCTGGGCAGAGCCGACGGATGCCAGACGGAGCAGAAATGGCTGTGGGCCCAGCTCTATCCATCTCATCTTGGCCCTGGTTGGGGGATGGGGGTCTGCCTGCCTGCTTGCCTGCTGGTGCTGCAGGCAGGACTGGGGCCCTGATGAGTCTCTAAGGATGAGGGAGCTCCTTAGGATATGGACCTACTCCTTAACCACCAGTCATCATATCCCAACATAGTCTATAGCTGGCCACAGAGATCTGAGGCCAGCTATAGACTTGTTTGTGTTTGGTCTAGTAAGTGAGTTTAAGAGCCCAGAAAGCAAGCCATAGGACTAATGAACTGCAGAATCATTTTTAAAACTTTCATTTATTATCAGGTGTGGTGGTGCACACCTTTAATCCCAGGACTTGGGAGGCAGAGGCAGGTGGATCTCTGTGAGTTCAAGGCCAGCCTGGTCTACATAGTGAGTTCCAGGCCAGCTGGGGCTACAGGGAGACCCGGTCTCAAAAAGACCAAAAACAAACAAAAAAAATCCCCTTTCATTTATTTTATTTTTTAATGTATGAGTGTTAGACCTACATGTATGGTAGGTGTACCTGTGAAGTCAGAAGAGGGTTTTGGATCCCAGAGACTGGAGTTATGGACGGCTGTTAGCCACCATGTGGGTGCTGGGAACAGAACCAAGGTCTTCTGCAAGAGTAGCTGGTGCTCTTAACCATGTCTCTAGCCCCCAGAATCATTTTTATGAAGATACAAACTGAGTTTGCCAAGCCCATCAGTTCCACCTATCAAGATTCCAGTGTTCTCTCAAAGTCTTATTCAAGGCCCAATTCTCTAAGAACTAGGAGTAACCAGTAGCAATCCCTACTTCCTTCACACTTTATAACAAAACAAGTGTGGAAAGGAGAGACCTAGGTTTATGAAGCCCTAAGAGATGGCAGGCTATCAATGCTACCTTCTCTGGATACTTTGGCAACTTGGTTCAATGGTCCAGTTGCTTCATTCCTTGTTCTGGCCTCGGGGCCCTCTGTGATGCCCACTTACCACTTGCGCTTCATATAGGCAGCGGCTCGGTTTCCATAGAGCATAGCATTGTGAGGGGCCTTCTGAACAGCCTTGCTATACAGCTGAATGGCCTGGGTCCACTGCTGGCAGGCAAAAGCCTCATTGGCTTGCTGCTTTACACGCTCCAGGTATGGGGGTAGCTCTACCTGGGGGCTGTGAGGGAAGAAAAGCCAAGTCAGACCAGTCAAAGGTTAGCAGTCCTACCTGAGGACCAGGCAGACTTTCTTGGGAGTCTAGGCTCTTCCCTGCTATCAGGAGAAGGGGCCACTCTCATCTTCCGTTCAGGTTATTACCTGTTACCATGAGAGGGAACATACACAATTCCAAATACCCTGAGCCAGAAGAAGTGGCAGGAGTGAGGCTGCCCAGACAGGTCTAAAGCAATTACTAATCAAATGTCTGGGCTCATATGACAGTAACTGATGCTTTCTGCCTCCACACTGAGCTAAACCTTATGACCACCCTAGTTCCTTCTATTAATCTCTATTTTCTTCTGTTCTGTTTTAGTTAAGGGCTAGAAAATTTGGATACTTATTTATCTAAAGCCCAGTAGATGACTGGGTAGAGGTGGGAATATGCTATGAAGTGGGGAATAATGTTAAGAGGGGAAGGACCATCTGTGTGGGAGAGTACTTAATGCTAAGAGGCAGCTAGCTCCTGGACTCTGACCCCAGCAACTGGTACCAAAAGACAAGCTTCAGTCTGGGTACAGATTGGTACCAGACAGAAGTGGCCTTGGGATTCCCTTAGGCACCCTCTAAGAAGCCTCTCTGCTCCAATCTCCAACCTCTGTGACATACAGCTGGGTGCAGGTCAGGAGAAAGGTTTATAGGATATGTCCCTAAGGTGCAAGTGAGGTGTAGAAGGCTGTAGAAGTCAGCTGGCCTCACCTGACATGCCCCCCTCTCTCTGGCAGCCGGAAGCCATTGCTGTGAAGGTGTAGGCCATTAGACACACTGTTGGATACACCATTAGTAGACATCTTGCCATTCTGGACTTCTGGCAAGGAAGGAAAGAAAATAAAAGTGACAACTCAGGCGGAGAGCTTCATTTCTCTGAATCCCTTTGACTTCCATCATAGGGTCTGATAGCTCCATTGTGGGACTATTCTCCCAGGTCTAGTTCCAGAAACCAAATCTGGACAGACCGGCAGGCAGTGGGCATAAAGAAAATCATGTGCGCCCTCTGCTGGCTCAAGAGGACATAGCTTCTGTCTGACATTTCCCTTGACTGAGGTGGAGAATGAGGGGCGAAGCTGTAGTGTAGGAAGAAGTCAATTGAGACAGGATGAGAAGGGGAAGGGCCAAGCCACAGGAAGAGCCTGTCATTCACAGGGAAGTGAAAAGGGCTGTGATGAAAAGTCTCTGGATAGACCTCTCTGACTTGTTAACATCTTCCTTCTGACAAGGTCACTGTAGAGACTGGCTCCTTTTGGAGTATCACAACCACAGTTCAGAGTAATGGGTAGCCTTCTCCACTGAGATAGCAAGAACTCAACCCCCCTCCACCTCAGTGTGGATCCCATAAGGGAGAACTTACCCCCTGAGGAGTGGCATTTTCTAGGCAAAAGGAAGGTATACGGCCGCTGCTTGTAAGTCAAGTCAAACAAATAGACCTAGTGGGGTCAAGAGAAGAGATGGAAACTATGAGGTAAAGATGTGGCCGAAGCACTAGCAAGGCCTTGGCATCTTTCAAGATCAGTGTCTTTAAGTCACCATGAGTGCTAAGCACAGAATCATCCAGCTAGCCAGGAGGTGTTTCTAGAAAATGAATCTCAGACAGGAAAATCTTCCTAGTTTTTGACCCTTGGGCTGGGCTGTTTGACCTACTCAAAGCCCTGGCTGAAATGCTGGAAGCATATATTGAAATCAGAAAGGTCCTCAGGTTAAAGTCAAATGTCTTGTTTTACAGATGGGAAAACTGAGGTCTCAAAGAAGTTACTTAAAGTAACACTGCCAGTTCCTTCTTCGAGTAAGTAATATTGTCACTAAATACTTACTGGATGTTATTCAATGCTTATTTTGTTCAGAAATTCTGCTAAGTGTTCTACATAGACTTATCCTGGAAAGTACTACATGAAGAGATACTATTAATATTTTTATCATCCTTTTTGCAGATGAAAAAATGTAGACTCAGCATTTAATGCTGTATCAGGGCCATAAAAGCAGTAACTAGCAGTCAGGATGCACACCCAGGTCTGCTGGTTCTAAAGCACTCTGCTAAGGCATCCCCACTCATCCTCATGAACCCTGGCCATGGTCAGCTCAGTGATGCAAGAAGCCTGTTCTGAACCCAGGTGCTTGCCCATTCGCCAGCCCATTTCTTCTGTATATATTTATACCTTGCTTTGTAATGTATCACTGTTTGACCTGCATGTCTCCTGTCAGTCTAGGGATGGCTTGTATTTGCATTTGTTTCCCCTACGTTAGTTACACAGTGAGTGCTCAGTGGCTGAGAATCAATTTATGCAAGGCTTACTACCGATCTTGAGTGAGAGCGTACAAGCAAAAGGTTTAGCAACTAGGCATTATCAAGTAACACTTCTCAATGTTGGCACTGAACCCTAGCCTGGCTGTGTGCTTTCAGTCTCAAGGATTTCCTCTTAGAAAACAGCAGGAGAGGAAACTGAGGCTCAAAAATGAAAAGAACTGCTTGAAGTCACTGTAAATGGTAAGCAGATGGCTGGAGTTTGAGGACAGGTATGCCAACTGCTTTTTTTCTTCTTTCTCTCTTTCTTCTTCCTTTTTATAGAGGGTGGTGGTGAGGAAGACAGGTCTTGTTATGTAGAGACTGACCTTGAATTCTCTATTGTCATGCCTCAGCCTCTTGAGTGTTTGGATTATAGGCATCACCACACCCACTCCAGCATGATCTGTCAATTTCTGTTTGTTTTTTGTTGTTTTTTTTGAGACAGGGTCTCCCTATAGCCCCAGCTGACTTGGAACTTGCTATGTAGACCAGATCAGCCTTGAACTCAGAGACCTGATCGCCTCTGCCTCCTGAGTGCTGGGATTAAAGGTGTGTGCCACCAGATCTATGAATTTCTTTCTCTGCTCCTCATCCCTCCAAAGGATCACATACATCTTACATCTTAAACCAGACTAGAACTTCCTATGTAACCAGGGATGACCTTCAACTCCTGATCCTCCTGCTTCTTTTTTTGGCTTTTTTGAGATAGGGTCTCCCTGTATGTAGCCCAAGCTGGCCTGGAACTCACTATATAGACCAGGCTGGCCTTGAACTCTCAGAGATCCACCTTCTGGGATTAAAGATGTGCGCCACCACGCCCAGCGTGCTTCTACCTCTTAAGTACTAGGATTTCAGGCATGTTATTACCATGCCCGGTTTATGTGGTACTAAAGATCAAACCCAGGGCTTCGTGCAAACTAGGAAAGAACTCTATAAAATGAGCTACATTCTTAGCCTATGAGTTGCCAATTTCAAAGTGTATGTTTCTTTTCTTATTGTTATTATTATTTGGGTGTGTATGATGTACATATGAATGTAGATTTCTACATGCCCTGTCATATGAGTGGAGGTCAGAGGACAGCTTTTTTTGTTGCTGTTGTTTTGTTTTTTGAGATAGGGTCTCAGTATAACAGTTTATCAATCAGTAGGTAGCCCTGGTTGGTCCAGAAGTTGTTTTATAGATCAAGCTGGCTTCAAACTCACAGAGATCTGCCTGCCTATAACTACTGAGTGCTATGACTAAAGCACACGCCACCAGGCATGATCAGGGAACAGCTTTAAAAAAAATTTGCTTATTCGGGCGTGGTGGTGCACACCTTTAATCCCAGCAGAGGCAGGTGGATCTCTGTGAGATCAAGGCCAGCCTGATCTACATGGTGAGTTCCCAGCCAGTTGCTACTACAGGGAGACCCTGTCTCAAAAAGACACACACAACAAAAATTTAATTTTATGTGTATTGAGTGTTTTGCCTGCATGTATGTAAGTGCACTCGTGTCATGTAATGCCCATGGACGCCAGAAGAGGGCATCAGAGCCCCTAGAACCGGAGTTAGGGATGTTTGCTAGATACCATGTGGGTGCTGGGAACTAAACTCAGGTATTCTACAAGAGCAGTCAGTGTTCTTAACTGCTGAGCCATCTCTCCTGCCCTAGAGAACAACTTTTGAGAGTTGGTTTTCTCCTTCTATCATAGGATCTGGGGATTGAACCAGGTTGTCAGGCTTGCAAAGCAAGCACTTTTACCTGCTGAGCCATCTCCATGGCCCACAGTCTATGTTCTTAAACAAAATATCATACATCTGTCTAGTTCATTAAAAAGAAAGGGAAAATAAAAAGACCAGGCCAGGATAACTCTGTGGGAATCTGTGTAATGCCAGGTCACTCCACATTTCACTGGAAAGCCATTTACAAGGAAGCCATTACTTTTGTCTGCCTGTAGGCAGTAGATGAAAGCTACTTCATTCCTGGCTGCTGGATAGGGAATACTGGTGGAGAGAGTCCTATCAGGCAGCTGAACGTACCTGCTCTCCTCCCATATTGACTAGCAGCTCTGTGCCATTGGGGCTGAAGGTCACATAGGTGGCAACCAGCACTCTCAGTCGGTTATTATAGTCAGGCAGCTTCACTGGCAGGTGACCTGTAAGGAAAAGCACAGTAACCCTAGGATGAGATGACCCCGAAAGAGGCAGGAGTTAGGTAAAGACAGCCATACTGAAAATGCTAGTGATTGACTTCATCATGGAAGCAACTACAAGTGCAGGGCCCTTAGTGCAGGAGCACTGGGCCAACTGTTCTACATGCTTTACCTCACACTTTACCTCACTTTTCTTTTGAGGGGGGGTGAGATAGGGTCTTGCTATGTAGCCCATGCTGGCCTCAAATTTACTAGGTAGCCCAGACCTTGTACTTTTGATCTTCCTGTCTCAGCCTCCAGAGTGCTGGGATTGCAATTCCATTTTAGAGAGAAAAAAAACTCATTAAGGCTAAGTAATTTTTTGACAGTTTCATAGCTGGTCAATGCCAAGCCAGGGGAAAGCCCAGATTCTAAAACCCTTGTTCTTGACTGCGGTGCCCCTTTCCTCCCCTGGACAGCTCCAGAAAAGGCCAGTGTCTAGCCAAGAGTATGCAGCCAGGGCCAGGTTGGCTCCACATAGTACCTGCCACATAATATTGGGCTGCACCATCCGGGAGGGGCTTCTGCCGATCACAGAAGGTGTGCACACCTGCTGAAGGGCTCTGCTTCATGCTCTTTCTGGAGGGAAGGAAAATCAGACAGGTTAAAGTTCTAGCATTGTCCCTGGCTAGTGAAATCACACTCCATAGAGGACAACCATGGCTTGTGTCTCCAGAGTACAGAAGCATGGTCTTCTTGCCCTAAGTGACTCCAAAGGCTACCCACTAGTAACCTGTGAATGTATACGTTACAGTGCTTTACCAAGGAGATCCTATACACAACCTGGTTACCCACATTTTATGTATGAGGAAGCTAAGGCTCAAGGCTCATTCCCAGCTGCTTTGTAGGGGAGAGACAGCAGCACCCATCCAAACTTACCAGTGAAAGTAGAGCAGGCCAGACCTGTCTTAATGTCAGGGAAAGTCAAGGCTGTGGAAGCTGCTTAGGTCTGTGAATAACCTTCCTCCCTGCCCTTCCTGTTTTCTTTTCTCATACAGGGTCTCATTAGCCTAGGCTTGCCTCAAACTCATCCATGAAGCTAAGGATGATCCTGAACTTCTGATCTTGCCTCCACCTCACAAGTATTGGGATTATTTTAAATATTTATTATCATATATTATTAATTTTTTTTGAGACAGGGTCTCCCAAGCTGGCCTGGAATGCACTATGTAGACCAGGCTAGCCTTGAACTCACACAGATCTGCCTGCCTCTGCCTCCTGAGTGCTGGGATTAAAGGCATGAGCCACAAGGTCACAGGCAACCTGGGCTATATATTGAGTTCCAGGCCTACATAGCAAAGCCATGTCTAAAAAAAAAAAGACAAGAAAAGAAAGAAAATGAACATTAATGAAATATTTACTCTAGCAAATGTATAAAATGTATATATTTGGGATGAGAGTTGGAACAGATTGACACTGGGAACAGTTCATCTCCTGCTTGAGAAGAGACTTTAGTTTTTTTTTGTTTGTTTGTTTTTTGTTTTTTGGACTTTTTGAAGCGGGGTCTCCCTGTAAGCCCTAGCTGTCCTGGAACTCACTATGTAGACCAGGCTAGCCTTGAACTCACACAGATCTGCCTGCCTCTGCCTCCTGAGTGCTGGGATTAAAGGCATGAGCCACTACACCTGGTTATTTTTTATTCTATTTAATTATATGTATTCGTGTGTATCTGTGTGTGGGTATGTGTACATGAGTACAGGTACCCTTAGAGGTCAGAGGCAACATATCCTCTCCCTGGAGCTGGATTTACAGGCAGTTGTGAGTCACCTGATGTGAATGCTAGGAGTTGAACCCAGGTCCTCTGCAGGGGCAGGAAACACTCTAACCACTGAGATACCTCTCCAGCCTCCAAGATTATTTTTAAAATTATGTGTATGTATATGTATCTGTGTGGGAGTATGTGCACGTGAGTGCAGGTGCCTGAAATGCTAGAAGAGAAAATCAGATTGTCTGTAGCTGGAGTTATAGGCAGTTGTGTGTGAGTCACCAGAAATGGGTGCTGGGAACTGAACTTGGGTGTTCTCCAAGAGCAGCAGGCATGCTTGATTGCTGAGCCATATCTCTAGCTCCTTATGTGCATTCAGATACCCCTGGTAGCCAGAAAGGGTGCCAGGTTCCTTGGAGCTGGAATTATAGGCAGCTATGAGCCCCCTGATGTGGTGCTGGAATTAAACTTAGGTCCTCTGGAAGGACAGCAAGTGCTTTTAGCTGCTGAGTCATCTCTCTAGCCCCCATCTTTTTCTTTTTTTGGTCTTTTTGAGATAGGGTCTCCCTCTATAGCCCCAGCTGGCCTGGAACTCACTATGTAGACCAGGCTGGCCTTGAACTCACAAAGATCTGCCTGCCTGCCTCTGCCTCCCAAGTGCTGGGATTAAAGGTGTCGCCACCATGCCTGGCTATCTTTTTCTTTTTCAATTTATTTTTATTTATGTGTACATGCATGCGCTTGTTTCTATGTGCAGAATGTGCACACCAAGGCCAGAAGAGAGCATTGGATCCTCTGGAGCTGGAGTTACAAACAGTTGTGAGCCACCTGATATGGGTGCTAGGAACTGAACTCAGGACCTCTGTAAGAGCAACAAGTGCCCTTAACCACTAAGCCATCTCTCCAGCTCTCCTCCTCCCCCATTGTTTTTTAAAAAGATTAAAACAAGGATTAGGCTGGGCATGATGGCGAACGCCTTTAATCCCAGCACTTGGGAGGCAGAGGCAGGCGGACTTTGTGAGTTCGAGGCCAGCCTGGTCTACATAGCGAGTTCCAGGACAGCTGGGGCTACAAGGAGACCCTATCTCAAAAAAACAAAAAAACAAAACAGGGATTAGTATGTAGCTTAGTGGTAGAATGCTTGCCTAGCACACGTAAGGCCTTCCAGGTTCAATCCCAATATCATAAATAAAGGTATATATAGAAAAAATTACAAGTACGAAACTATTAACACTGGGCCAGCGAGATGGTTCAGCCTACTGCCAAGTGTGATGACTTGACTTTGATTTCTGGGACCCACATGGTGGAAGAAGAGAACTGATTCCCTGAAATTGTCTTCTGACCTTTACACATGTACTGTGGCACTTGCAGGTGCCCTGAGCCCCTGTCCCCACAAATGTAATAAAAAGGGGTTAACTTTGTACAAGCAGGAATGGTGAGAACTAGCAGGAAATATTATACACAGTGATTTAGGGGATGAGATTATGAGCAATTTATTACACTTTTCAAATTTTCCAAAACAAACCTTTTTAGTCAAAGAATTAAAAAAAACTCCTCAGAAAGCAGTAGACGTAACACAATGAGAGGGGCAGAGGGCTCCTAATGACCTGCCCACATGAGGCTGCTGTTCATACCTGTGGTTATGGATCATGCGAATGTCGTAGAGTCTCACAAAGGGCCCACTGGCCCCTACTGCCAGGCAGTTGTTGTCCTGGGGATTGACAGTGAGGCACTTGGCCTCCACCAGCTGGCCACAGTACTCTGTCAGATCAATCAGCACTTCTGAGTGTTTGCTGTTCTCCCGAAGGTCATACTGGCTGCAAGAGAGGACAGATTGAGTGGCTGGGCTTCTTCTGTGGAAAGCAGGAGACAGACAAAATTTTTGTAATGCAAGAGGGGACGGTGTCTACTGTGGACCAGGTACCTATAGTAGGGTTCTTATGCTAAGTAGGCTTTTTACCCCAACTTAACCCCTTAGGGTAGATACTACTGCACAGATTTGATAAACGTCACTGCTACTGCTATTATACGACCACTGATTACTAACACTTAGTGAAAATATGCTGTGTGTTCAATATTACCCCCAAGTGTTTTATAAGCACTATTTAATTAAAATGTTAACACCTGTCCTGTACCACTAGAACAATGAGGTTCAAAGAAGGAAATAAAACTATCTGGGGTGACACAGCTACAAAGTACAGAGTGCAGATGCTTGCTAAGACTGCATTCAAACTATTCTATTGGCTGCCTGTCATGGTGACATGCCTATAATCCTAGCATTCAAGAGGGTGAGGCAGGAGAATTACGAGTTCAATCAAGCCCTGGGCTACACAGTGAGTTTGACGCCAGCCTGGGATACACAGTAAGACATCAACTTAACAAACCAACCAACTAACCAAAACCTTCAACCCCCCTTCCCCCAATCCTTTGTTATAGTCCTTCCTCATCTTTCTTTCAGGAAACAAAAGATACATGGAGATGACAGCGCTCATCTTAAGAGCTACCCTGAAACACCAAAGGCCAAGGCCAGTCCCACAGTACAACTGCATGGTAAAGATAAGGCCAAAACGCCACCATCAGCAGCAAGTTCCTGCTGCTCCAGAATGGGGAGGAAGGGAGTGATACCATTCATGTGCTCACCCATTTCTTGCCTAGACATCTGTAATAACCTCATCACCATACACCTTGCCCTTCTCCGTCATCCTAACTGGAATATTCTTCCTAAAAATTTTTTTTTTTTTTTTTTTTTTTTTTTTTATTGTGACGTTTCCCTTTCATCTCTGATTTTGTTGATTTCAGTTTGCTCTTTCTCAGTAGGCCCATTCCTGATGGAAGTGATGGAGCCAGAGCTTTTGAGGGGAGCATCCCACAGACTGTGGTGCTGTTTGTCAGGTATCAGGTTTCTTTTTTTCTTTCTTTTGTCTTTTTGAGAGAGGGTTTCCCTGTAGCCCCAGCTGGCCTGGAACTCACTATGAAGACCAGGCTGGCCTTGGACTCAGAGATCTGCCTGCCTCTGCTTCTCAAGTGCTGGGACTAAAGGCAGGCACCACCATGCCTGGCTTCCTAACATAGTTTTGTGTCACTTTTTCTGCCACTAAAACCGCAGAGATTCCTTAATACTTTCAAATATGGGTTTTACGTTTACTTTTATGAAACTCCACAATCTTGTTTTCAAGACCCAATTTCACAAACCTCTTATTCCTCAGTTTTCTAAATGTGGGTCAATTACAATTATAGCTTTTGCCACCAGCTCCCCTTGTACTGGAGAATGAATCTAGGGCTTCAAACATGTTATGTAAGCACTCCACCACTGAGCAACATCCCCAGCCTATAACTACGGTATTCTTTGTCTTGTATGCCACTTTCATTCCTAACTTGACAAAATCTACTTATGTGGGGAATCCACTTTGCCTCTTGCCCATCCAATTCTGGTCTGTTCTGAAAGGACCAGCTTATGTTCACATGCTGTTAGGATACCTTTACTAATGAAGACTATGCCTAAGTCCTTAGAATTCTACCCAATGCTCAAGTTTCTTGGCTTCTACCAGCTGGCCCTGGTAGTCTGGTCTATCAAGGTCAACAAATGCCTCCCGAATAGGCCCCTGATCAAGTGCTTTCCGACTTCTAAGTATCATGCTAAGGTTTTACGTGCATGTTCTCAACTTTAATACTCAGATCAACAAAGGAGCTATGATTATTCCTATTGTATAGATGAAGGGACTAAAGTTCAGGGGGTGCAGTGACCTTTTCAATCTAACACTGAGTTAGGATTTGACCTGTTATGTCTGGCTTCCATAGCCTCATGTAACTTTGTTATAATTTACACACTACTTAAACACTTCTCTGTTAACAGCAAAGATAAAGGAATGGAAGGGAAGGTAGGTTAAGCAGATTGGAGAGGTGAGGAAAAAGTTCTAAGACTGCATAGGAAGGAAACAAATAGAGAAGGGCAGTGACAGCAGCAGGCATGGTGGTATGTGCTTGTAGTCCCAGCTACTCAGGAAGCTGAGATGGGGGATTCATTGAGACTAGCCTGGGCAACATAGAGAATCCTTCTTAAAATAACAAAAACAATGCTTATAATCAGCACTTAGGAGGTGGAGGAAAGAGGATCTCTAGTTCAAGGACAGTAAAGCAAGACTTGTCTCAATATCTCCTCTTCCCAAATAAAAAGGGGTTGGTTGGGTAGCTCAGTGGTAGAGAATTTATCTGGTATATAAGAGGCCCTGGGCTCAATCCCCAGCACCACAAAAAGGGAAAAAAAACAAAAAAAAAACAAAAAAAAAAAAACAAAAAGGAAGGGCAAAAACACCAACTTTACAGGAAGGGAAGTAGAGGCAAATATGTAACCATACAGGGCATTGGAAAGGGGGAAGATCCACTTTCTCTCCACTGGGGGAAGAGCCAGGCCTGTGGAGTCACCAAAGCAGAGGAGCACAGGCCATTTCATGCCTGGATCCTTACCGGATAAGCCCGTCCTCAGCAGCACTCCAGAATGTGTTGGGCCACATGGGTGCTGTGGCAATGCGCTTCACCCGGTTCGTATGGTCTCCAAACATGTGGATAGTCTCCTTTACTGTCAGGTCATGGACATGCACCTTGGAGTCTGCTGCCCCCGTAATCAAGATGCGGTCTCCAGCATGAGGCAGGAACTGCTCAGGAGAGATTGAAGGATTGGCAAGAGGTAGGGGAGAGTTGGCTGCTGGAGGAGACTGGCCTGGATGCTGGCATCCCCTTTCCCTTTCCACATCACATAAGAAAATAAATTTATCCTTAAGAGTTCACCAAAATAACTTTGTACACTAGCCTATAAAAATTAAATCAAGACATACATCTTTATTTTGCCAAAAGAGTCATGACCTATGCCAAGTTGGACTACCTGAGGAACCCTTTTTCCTTTGATTCTTTCCCAAGTAGGAGCTGAGTAGATGATAATCACAGCTGTTATTTACTGAGAATTTACCAAACACCAGACAACAGGGCAACTACTTTATCTTGTTGATACTTATACAATCTCATTAAAAATTGCTTGGAGCTGGAGATGGCTCAGCGGTTAAGAGCACTGGCTGATCTTGCAGAGGACCCAGATTCAGTTCCAGCACCCACATGGCAGCTAACAACTGCCCACAACTCCAGTTCCAGGGGATCTGAAGCTCTCTTCTGGCTTCTGCTAGCACTGCATGCACATGGTACTTTTAAATATATGCAGGCAGAACATTCATATACACAAAATACAATTAAATAAAAAATTTTTAAAGATTGCTGGTTTACAGTATAAGCTTAGTGGTAGAACATTCACTTAGTATGTATAAGAATCTAAGTTCAGCCAAGTGTGGTGGTGCATGCCTTTAAACCTAGTACTGAGGTGTTGGAAGCACGCAGGTCTCTGAGTTCTAGACCAGACAGGGCTGCATAGTAAGACCCTGTAAAAACAACAACAACAGCAGCAGCAGCAGCAGCAGACACAACAACTAAGTTCAGTCCCCCTCATAGCCAAAGGGAAAAAAATTGACAACCATCACTTAAGAGTGTAGCTTACTGGCAGAGAGCACATGCTTAGCATGTGTGAAGTCCTGGTTTCAATCCCAGGACCAAAACAAAGAGAGCAAAGCAAGCAAACAAAGAAAAATCACTGAATTCAGAAATAACATGGAGGACTGTGTTCAAACCCAAGATTTTCTACCTTGTGATGTACGCCTGCCTGCCTATCTACCTACCCATCTATCTATCTACCTATGTTTGAGGCTGGAGATGGAACTCAGAATGATAAGTGCACTCTCTACCACTGCCCTACAACCCCAGTCCATGATGACTATTAAGCAACCTAGGGAGCAAATAAAAAATTAGTCCAAAAAAGAACTTACAAGGACTTTTAAGGGAGTAGGTGTTTTAAAATAATTCAACTGTTTCTGTCCTTTGACCTAAAATGCTTTGGTTTGCTTTGTGTTTTTGAGACAGGGTCTCCCTGTAGCCCCAGCTGTCCAATTTGCTATGTAGACCAGAGTGGCTTCTGCCCATGTCTTGCCTCCCCAGTGCTGGGATTAAAAGTGTGCACCATCATGTCTAGCTTCTTTCTTAGCTTTCAGTTGAAAAGTTCCTTCCAGCCTATACTGGGGGGTGGGGTTAAGGATGGGGCACCATTCTTCATTTAAACAGCTCCAGTCTCGCTTTTCTTCAAATGTTCATGGAAGAGAAACAAAATTGACGTTATCTGCATGATTCTTCACTGTCTCACCAGGAAAAAGAGATAAATGAATTCGTTTTTAGAGACAGGCTATAATCTCTAACCCTGTCTGGAGAGACAGCATTGATTAGATGCAGCAGAAATAAACATGTCATGTACTATAGTTGCCGCCAGGGGGAGCACATGAGTGGAATACTGGAAATGCTTATAGTCATTGTTTTCACTATCTGAAGAGAAAAGGATCTTTTTTTCCCTTGCTTTTCTTCAAAAACAAAACACACGGGGCCTTGAGAGGACTCATAGGGTAAAAGCATTTGCCACACAAGCCTGGTGAACCAAGTTCAATTCCCAGAACGCACATAAAATGGAAGGAGAGAACCAATTCCACAAAGTTGAGTTGACCTCCACACCTACTTGTGTCCCTCCCCATCACCTACACACATACACAACAATAACAAATTTAAAACTGTATCTAGCTGGGTGTAGTGGTGCACACCTTTAATCCCAGCATTCAGGAAGCAGAGGCAGGCGGATCTCTGTGAGATGGAGGCCAGCCAGGTCTATATAGGGAGTTCCAGGCCAGCTGAGGTTACAGGGCGTCCCTGTCTCAAAAAGACTAAAACACCCCACAAGTTTCCCTTCCACCAAGTGAAAAGATTTATTTCCTTATAATAAGGTGAAAGAGGTGCTTTATTTTTTATTTTTATTATTTAAAAAACAACAACAACAAAAAAAAACTTGTAAGGCATGGTGGTATACACCTTTAACCCCAGCATTCCAGAGGCAGATGGCTCTCTGTGAGACTGAGTCCAGTCTGGTCTGGAGTCCAGTCTGGTCTACTCAGTGAGTTCTAGGCTAGGCTAGCTAAGGGAGACCTTGTCTCAAAAAGAAAAAAAGCTTTTTTATTATATTTATTCATGTGCATACCTGTAAATGTGTGCATGCACAAGCATGTTCATGGGGGTGGGGCACATGCCATGGCAAGTGTGTAGAGGTCAGAGGACAAGTTTGTTTGTTTTTTTTTTGAAACAGGGTCTCCCTGTAGCCCCAGCTGACCTGGAACTCACTATGTAGACCAGGCTGGCCTTGAACTCAAAAGATCTGCCTGCCTCTGCCTCCTGAGTTTATTACTTTATGTGTATAAGTGTACCCATGCCATGCAATGCCTTCAGAGGCCAGAAGAGGGCATCAAATCCCTTGAAACTGTAGTTATAGAAGGTTGTTAGCTGCCACGTGGGTGCTAGAAATCAAACTCAAGTCCTCTACAAGAGCAGCTAGTGCTCTTAACCACTAAGCCATCTTTCCGGCCCCAGAAGACAAGTTTTCCATTATTTTTACTTTATGTGTATGAGTATATTGCCTGCATGTAAGAAGTACACCTGTGTCGTGTGATGCTCATGGAGTTCAGAAGAGGGTATCGGATCCCCTGGAACTGGAGTTATAGATGGTTGTTAGCCACCATGTGGATGCTGGGAATTGAACTCCTTTCCAAGAGTAGCCAGTGCTCTTAACCACTGAGCCATCTCTCTAGCCCCAGAGGACAATTTTTGGTAGTCAGTTTTCTCCTTCTACCTTTTCATGGGTTCTGGGGTGTCAGGCCTGTGTGGCAAGTGCTTTTACCTGCTGGGCCATCTTGCCAGCCCTCTGCCTTATTTTTTAGAACAGGGTCTCTTATTAAACCTGGAGCTCAATGATAAGTTACATTGGCTGGCCAGTGATATCCTCTTGTATCTCCCCAGTGCCAGGGTTGTATAACAAGCACTTTAATGATAGAGCCATTTCCTTGGGGTTGCCCCCTCCCCTTTTTCTGGGAAACAGGGTCTCACTTGCCCTGGTTGGCCTAGAACTTGCTATGCAGATCAAGCTAGCTTCAAACTCACAGAGATCCATCTACCTCTGATGGGTTTAAAGGTGTGTGTTAACACATCCAATTTTTTTTTGTCTCCCAAGTGCTGGGATTAAAGGCATGCGCCACCACATCTGGCTTTTTTTTTTTTTAAGAGACAGGGTCTCAAGTAGCCCAGGCTGGCCTGGAACTCACTATGTAGCTGAGGGTGACCTTGAACTTCTGATTCTTTTTTAGAAATCAATTATCTAACTGAATTGTAATGTTAATCCTGTAGGCTGTTACTTCCTCTTTTTTTTTTTTTTTGTCTTTTTGAGACAGGGTCTCCCTGTAGCCCCAGCTGTCCTGGAACTCACTATGTAGACCAGGCTGGCCTTGAACTCACAGAGATCCACCTGCCTCTGCTGGGATTAAAGGCATGTGCCACCATGCCCAGCTACATCCTCATTTTTTATGATTTATTCACATTCATTTGCTCATGAAGATATTTGGAAGATATTCTTTAGCTGCTTCTCTTTTAGAGAGGAAAAGGCCCAGAGAGAATAAGTGATTATTTGCTCATACAACTTCCAAGCAGAAGATAAAGTGAGTTCGTGCTCACACCCTCCCCACCATCACTGCTCACATAAATGTAAATGGACCTAGGGCCAGGAAAGATCTCAGTAGGTGAAGGCACTTGCCACTAAGTTTGATGACCTGAGTTTGATTCTCTACGACCCACATGGTAGAAGGAAGGAATCAACTCTCTAAAGTTGTTCTGTAACCTCCACATGTGTGCTGTGGCACACATATACATATACATGAACACAAACAAATATGTATAAATATAAATGAATCTTGAGTTGGCCAGTTGGTTCTGAGAGGAAGAAGAGAGACTTTAAAGCATCACCATCAGATGCTCAGACCAAAGGGATATCTCTAACCCCAGTGAGTACAAGCCAACTCAACCATGCCCATAGTCCAGTCACCCCAAAACACATTCTGTGGCTTGTCTTGCTCACCTTGACAGAGAAGATATTTGCAGTGTGTCCCGTGTGCATGGAGAGCAGCTTCTTGTGGTGCAGTGGGTCCCACACAATGGTATGCTGGTCATCGGAACCAGAGGCCAACAAGCTGTGGGTAGAGTTAGGGGCTCTGACTTCTCAGGTGCCTAGGGTGCCTCTCCCTACCCTAGTTCCCAGATGATAAGAAGTTGGGTTACACAGAACTCAAGGAACAGTAGCTGTAGAATTTAAGGTTATTTTGGAAACATTAGTAGATTCTATTTTATCTATTTTGTCTTAAGGATTTTCCATAATCTTCTAATATACTGGCTTGTTGTAAAACAAGGTTTGGGGGCTGGAGAGATGACTCAGTGGTTAAGGGTACTGACTGCTCTTGCAGAGAACCCAGGTTCGATTTCCAGCACCCACATGGTGACTATGAACTGTCCTTAACTCCAGTTCCAGGGGAATCTGAAGCCCTCTTCTGACCTCCTCAGCAATGCACAACACAGGCGCACTCACATACATGCAGGCAATACACTCGTACACATAAAATAAAAATAATAAATATTAAAAAAAAACAGGGTTTGCATGGTCATTTGAACTTCTATCTATATTTGAGTTAACAGTTAACTGTTTTGACAGTTATGGGCCAAGCTTAAGAGGAACAGAGAACAGGAGTCTCTCTTCTTAGATATACCAAGAGGAAGGAAGCCTCTTCTCCTAACCTCCTGGGCTCCTCCAGCCCTCTCTAGCTCATACTCACTCTCCTTTCTCATTCCACTCCAGACAGTTGACACATCCTGAATGACCCTGGGGGAAGAAATGGAAAGGGTAAGAAGAGACCTGATTAGAAAGAAATACTCCTGAAAACACAATGCTACGAAGTGGGACTGAGCAGGGAAAGTGTCCTCCTCTTCTTCAGTGTTTGCCAGGGACAGGTAGGAGGCCAGAACTGATTAAACTGTGAGGCATCTTACAATCATGAAGTACTTTCATATTCACAATCTCATTTGACACTGGGTACCTCTGAACTATAAAGAGCAAGTTTCACTGATCCCATTTTTCAGAAAAGTAAAATGAAATTCAGACATGAGTAAGCAGAAATAAGAATCAAAAAAATTCTATCCCTACCATTATAATGTATGTCAGCAGTTTCTTCTATGGAAATGGACCTCAGCTACAGAAAACCTGCAGAGAGGAGCATCTGACTCAAGGTCAGCCACGAAACTATTAGGATGGTCTTTCATGAATGTTTACTAAGTACTTAACTGCATGCCAGGTACTATTCAGATGCTGGGGTACACTATATACAAAACAAAGTCCCTGGTGTTTAGAATCTTACTCTAAGAAAGCAGAGAGAGAGCGTGAAGGTGTAGCTCATGGTGATGCAGTCAATGGTACAATGCTTGCCTAGCATCTTTGAAGCTCTGTGTTTTATTCCTGGTGTTTTCCCATCCCCACTGCCCTCAAAAAGAAGGCTGAGCCTAAAGACCAGTGAAGAAAGGCAAAGAGGGTTAGAGTATTTATCTTGGGGATTTTAGTTGAGAAACAAAAGAGAAACTCAGACACTTAACAACAGATGCTGAAGTTGAAAGCACAGAGAAAGAAATGTGAGGCTAGAGAATTTACAAAAAAGCAGAAGGTATGAAGGAACAGACATCAAAGTTTCACAATAGAGAAGAAAAGATAGGCATTCTTCCCAGTTCTTTCTGTTCCTTTACCTTCCCTCTTTCCTAATAGTACCTCAATTACCATTTAATTATTATTTACCCCACCTTAAATGAAATCATGTGTTTTAAAAAACACAATTTCATGCCTGACGTCATGGCGCATGCCTTTAATACGAGCAGTTGGGAGGCAGAGGCAGGCAGATCTCTGTGAGTTCAAGGCCAGCCTGGTCTACATAGTGAGTTCCAGGACAGCTGGGGCTACAGGGAGACCCTGTCTCAAAAAGACCAAAAAAAGAAACACAAATCCATTTTCCTTGCTACAGTGATAGGTTCAGGAACTTAGGCCTAAACCACATAAAATATAACATTCATTGGTCTCAGGAATCAGCTCTGAGAAAAACCTGTGACCTTTGATCAGATGTCAGGAAGGAAACAGGTTACAGAAGCTTCTGGAAAAATAAAAAGATTTATTTCTCCTTTAACTGTTGGGGATATGGATGTGACTGACTCATGAAATTGCTGCACACATTTTGCATCCAGAGGAAAGGGAGCTTGCCTAAGGGCGAAATCAACACCCAGAGGAGAGCTTACCTAGGGAATCAAAGAAAATGGAACTAGACTGACTACAGTAACAAATCCTGAGACCTGCCCTTTTTTGCCCCTCTGGTTAAGTGAGCCCGACAGTTCTTTTTATTTTTTTTTTCATCTTTCTGAGACAAGGTCAACAGTTTGTTATTTTTAAGACAATTGGAGCTGGATTGTTATTTGTGGTCCAAAGCATCCTAACCAGTAACTCCAACTCATTCTTCAGGTCTCAGTCTGTAGGTCCTTCCTTCCAGATCCCCTGCTGTCCTGGGAGTCTGGGAGGGAGGCCTACCCTTTTGGTGGGCTCCTACTGCCATACTACATTATGCTCTGTACCAGTGTGACTATTCCACCACACTGAGCCCTGAGAAAGCAGGCTTTGTGGATTACACTGATTGCATCTCCAAGGCCAGGCACAGTGCCTGGTAAGTATCTGCTGCTTAATGGACCAAATGAGTCCAGCAGACTAGGGAGGAGATGCAGACATTTATTTCCCACCCGCCTAGTCAGAAAAGGTTGTTCCTCTGTCTTCCCTCTTCCTTGGCATAGATTCTCATCTGGGTTGAAACTCATTTCTGCGAAGAATCTCCACTTATATACACAATTGATCTATTCACTGCTCAAATCTGCTAGGTCACTTGCTGACCCCAGGCCCTGTTCCTTCTGAGACACTTGGTTGTAATCCTACATCTGTATCAGGTAGTTCTTGAATCAGAACCACTTCTATCCTTAGTCCTCTTATTTTTCTACAAGGGTGTAAATTACTTGTGCCTGGAAGTCACATCTTTGCCTTAGAATCTCCCAGAGCACCCACGGCCTTGAATGACTGCCACTTAATTAGGGCTAAGCTGAGCAGAATAATGGTCCCCTACAAATGTCCTGTCCTGACTCTATAACTTGTAAATATGTTAGTTTAGGTGTCAAAGAGAACTCTGCAAATGTGATTAAGGTTCAGGACTTCAAAATGGGGAGATTACTGGTAGGTCCAATCCAATCACATGAATCCTTAAAAGAGACCTTTTGCTGGCTGCAGAAAACTAGACAGATGGAAGTTTAAAAGGACTGGACTAGCCACTGCTGGCTATGAGACAGAGGAAAGGGCCAGAAGCCAAGACTTGTAACAGCCTTAAGAAACTGGGAATAGCAAGAAAACAGATTCTATGCTAACGCCTCCTGAAGAACAGCCCTGTCGACACCTGGTTTTAGCATGGTGAGACCTGTGTCAGACTTCTGATCTATATAACTACAAGATAAGCCAGGAGTGGTGGGACATGTTTATAATCACAGCACCTTAGAGGCTGAGACAGGCCAACTGCTGAGAGTTTGAGGTTGCCCTGAGCTAGATGGTGAGTACCAGGCTAGCCAGGGCTATACAGTAAGACACTACCTCAAAGAAACTGGAAAACAGCCTCCCTGCCTCCCATTTTGGAACCTACTTTATGAGAAATAGAATGTCCAAGAGGGGTTGTTTGGTTGTTTTAGCTATAAATATACAATCTATATTCATGTTAAAGAATACAATGGAAGAAAATCAATTTATGCCATGTTAATTAGCAAATTAAGCCGGGTATGGTGGCACATACCTTTAGTCCCAGGCAGAGGCAGAGGCAGGCTAACCTTAGTGAGTTCAAAGCCAGTCTAGTCTACATAATGAGTTTCAGGCCAGCCAGGGCTACAGGAAGACCCTGTCTCAAAAAGACCTTCCCCTACCCAAAAAAGCAAATTAAAAAAGAGGGGAAGGGCCTGAAGAGATGGTTCAGAGGTTAAGAGCACTGGCTGCCTTGTAGCGATCATTCTTAACTCCAGTTCCAGGGGATCCAACACCCTTTTCTGGCCTCTGTGGGCATTGTGGTACACTCATAAAATAAATATCAAGACATTTTTTTTTTTTTTAAAGATGGGGAACTGGGCATGGTGATTCATGCCTTTAGTCCCAGCACTTGGGAGGGAGGCAGAGGTAGGCATATCTCTGTGAGTTCCAAGCCATCTGGAGCTACAGGGAGACCCTGTCTCAAAAGAACCCCCCCCCCCAAAAAAAAGCCAGTTGTGGTGGTACAAGCCTAAAATCCTACCACTCTTTGGCTCAGTGGTAAACAGACACGCTGCCAAGGATGACCTTAATTCTGAGACTCACAAGGTAGAGAAAACCAACACCTGTCAGTTGTCCTCTGACCTTCACATGTATGCCAAGGCACACATGTACCCCCATACATACACACGCAGGTGGACCTCTGTGAATTCAAGACCAGCCTGGTCTACCTAGTGAGTGAGAGCCTGCCAAAGAAAGAAAGGAGGGAGGGAGGGAGGGAGAGAGGGAGAGAGGGAGGGAGGGAGGAAGGCAGTTTCAGGTTTACTCTTATTTGTAAAATGAAGTTCTCGACTGCTCATCCCTATTGTGTGTCGAACCCTGTGCCAAGAAACTCTACCAGTGAATGGAAAGGAAGGATCTATGTATGACAGCAACCTCCACAACACAACAAAAGCAGGTGTCTCCTAAAAATAAGGACTGTCAGCTATGAGCTAAAATCCTGGCATTTGGCTCCAATCCAGTGAGGACAATAATGTTCACTGAGCCAAGATGAGATAGCACATGTATGTAATTAAAGTGAGATGTGGGATGTTCAGCAAAGAAGTCCAAGCAAAAGGAAAAGTTCTTCAGCCTGATATAACAGAACTGCTTAGAATTAATTTTAACTAATATTGAAACTCATGAGTTTGAAGTTAGGCTGGACTTTATGAATAAGACCCTGTCTCAAACAAAAACTCAAAGGGAAAAAAAATGATTTATTTTTTAACTTCAGAAATTTCTTCCTCTCTCTCTCTCTCTCTCTCTCTCTCTCTCTCTCTCTCTCTCTCTCCCTCTCTCTCCTCTCTCTCTCTCTAGTCTTTTTGAGACCGGGTCTCTCTGTAGCCCCAGCTGGCCTGGAACTCACTATGTAGACCAGGCTGGGCTTGAATTCAGAGATCTACCTGCCTCTGCCTCCCATGTGCAGGGATTAAAGGCGTGTGCCAGACACCTACTGGTGACATTCTACTAGAAGTGCCTGCTGTGTCAGAAACTTGGAATTTTTTTTGAGACAGGTTCTCATGTATCCCAGGTTAACTGAATTCACTGTGTAGCTGAGGATGACCCTGAGCTTCTGATCCTCTTGCCTCTACATCCTACCTAGTTTAGAAATTCAGATTTCTAAATAGAATCTCAGACACTTTTCGTTCAGTGGGTTCTAATTCACTACTGTCATTACTTACCCCCATGCTCAAACTGTCCCAGGGCCGGCCAGTAGCATAACTGGCAAGCGGGCTTCCATGTACTTTTATAGGTACTTCTCTATATGCATAAGATGCTATAACTCATTACGTACTTTTTCTGTCTCAGTCCAGAATCAGTTGTTTCTCTACAGTCACCTGGCTCCTTAAAAGGAATTTAGAAGACAGTAATTTTTTTTTGTTTTGTTTTTTGAGACAGGGTCTCCCTCTAGCCCCAGCTATCCTGGAACTCACTATGAAGACCAGGCTGTCCTTGAACTCAGAGATCCGCCTGCCACTGACTCCCAA